TCCATTGAAGGTACCCTCACACAGAAAACGGTGTGGAGGATTATGCATAAAACTGCTAGCCAATATTCTGTGTAATGCACATGTGTGTGTGTATGGTCATGTATGTATTGGCACAGGGGATGTATTGGAGAAATAGAGATGACTTTATTATTTTTGCATTTCAAAACATGGTGGAATTTTATATAATTTTACATTTTCTTTTGTTTTTAATTTCTGTAATTAAACTTTTAAAATAATAACATTACCAAAAAAACCCACTTTTTGAATATTGAAACCACTTCAATATTCTGTTCCTCTAATACCATCTTCATTGCATTATCAGTTTGCTGAATGATTGAAATGGATAATGAATGAAAACTTTTCTACTTGTCCTATGCTAACACAGCAACAATATGAATTAAAATGAATATAATACAAAGAATAACATACAAAGAATATTTTAAAGTAGATCTGAAGGAATTGACCTCAGATTTGTCATCTCATCAACATCCTTATTTCACAATGTAACAATATTGTTGTGTGTTTACCAGTGGTCTTTGGCTCTTTCCCCTTTTGGCGTGTTGAGGGGAAGGATTAAGTTCGTGAACTATTTTGTTCACATATAAATCCTCATCTCTCTTGCTGTTCAGTGAAAGTCTAAATACACTTATTTGGTATTACTGTTTCCAGAAAGCGAGAAACTCTATTTTATGGCCACATCAGAGCATTTTGAAGACAAGAAACAGCCCATTGTCTTTCCATGAAATACAGAACCCATGAAATCAAAATAGGAAAAATGAAGCTCCACTGAAATTAATTCCCTTTGTCAGGGTTTAATTTCATTGATGAACCTCATCATTAAAAATGTATTCTGACTCTGTGACTATAATGCCTATTTGATAAGTGCTGCTGAAAATCAGGCATTTGCCTATGTGTGAAACAACTTGTTTATCCCTTTTGGAAACAGATAATTATTTTTGAATATAAATATAAATACTAGTAAAAATATTTCCTCCAACTTTTAAAATTCAACTTTGATGCTGCTTTGTAATAGATGGGCTCTCAATGAGGTTATTTATGTATTGTGTCATCATGTTCACTTGATGTCTGTATATGTACCTACTCTCTAGCTAAAATGACAACAAAATGAAAGAAATAAAAATAATTCTATGATAAAAATGGAATGAAAAAGAAATAAAATGTACTACATCTCAAAGCCAAAATTCACTGAGGACTTACTGCTCTTCAAATCCTTTTTATTCCCGTGGGCCTATACTGAATATAGAAGCCATTTATCAGACCTTAGCTCCTGGGTACCAGGGACAATGTGATTTTGCCCCCAGGCCAGACATAGTACAATTTGACCTATATTGGCTGATTGGTCTATTTGCCACTCTGTATGCTGGAAATAACGAGGTCAGGCTGACTGGAGACACATGGAGTGGCCCATTGAAATTGGTAATGGGGGAAGGAGGAGTCACTTCTTCCTCCTTTGCCATCCTGGAAGCCCTAAAGTGGGGCACAAAAGAAAACATTGAAAGAATTCAGGGCAGCAAGAGGAAACAGAAAAGACCAGACAATGTCTGCAGGAGACTGCCTCATTCATGTCAGAGTCTGTGAGGTGTGTTAGAAGCAAGTGTCTGAAATAATAATTCACTTCATCTTTCTATCTGCCCCTCAGTGGGAGAGTCTACTATTTGCCTTGTCCCCCAATCTTCATTTCCCAAGCTGCATTCTTCAATCTGGCTGTTATTGCCCCCTGCCTGTATTATTCTAACAGTCTTCTCCTGGGTCTCTCAGTCTAGTGCATCTCCCTCTGCCCCAGTTAATCTTGTTTGCTACCCCTATATTTAACTCTGCCTAATGTCATTTTCTTTACATGTATGCCTTCCTAAATAACCTACAACAGATTATTCTCATCCATTTAATAAAACCACAGTTCCTCCCTCTGCTTCCTTTTCCTAAGGCTCGGTCACATTCCCACCCTATCATAACGTTCCTCATCTTATTTTTTTATGATTTCACCATCAGCTTTTTCCTTAGAGTCAGAGTGTTGTCCTGCTTATAGGAGAAATAGTATGGTGTATATAATAAGACTATATATGATATATTTCTATTGTTTTAAAAATAGGGGAGTAGGGGGAAGGTGAGGAGAAAAAGCATGGAAGGAGAGAAAGCAACAAAGACAAACCCTGAGCCATCTCAGTACAAGTTCCAGGCTTCCTGATGCTACCAGGAAATTGCCTCTCACCCCTCAAATGTCGTGGCTGTTAAGCAAAGAAGACAGAATTTATGAAATGCCAAATTTCTGTCAAGCCCTTTCAGTTGTGCCATTTCATTGAAGCCTCTTGGTCCTTGAGACAGGTACTGGAGCCCTTGTGTTGCAGATGAGAAAACTAAAGTCTAGACAGGAGGTAAAAAGCAAGTGAATCAGGTCCATCTAGCAACCCAATACCCCTCAACTGTACCTCTTTAAATGAGGTAATGTAACATGGAGATGGTCAATATTGATTAGATACTTTCTTCAACCCATCTTCCTCCCCAGGCAAACTAGATTAAGAAGAGAAGGTCATGAATACATTTTTCTCCCTTCCAATAGTGCATAAGGTCATGAATACAATATTTTCCTTTTCAATATTCATACCTTGGCAAACTGGGTTAAGAAAAGAAAGTCATGAATATAATATTCTCTCTTTCAGTAGTATATATGGAGGTCCTTCCATGGGTCCCAAATCAGGAAACAAATGTACTAATTATCAATAGCAATTTGGACCCAACAAATGTATCTTTGGGTAAACCCAAAATGCAATAATTACATTTTAAATCTAAAATTTAAATTGATTTAAATTTAATTAAATGTATTATTTTAAATTTAAAGTGTAATGCATTAATAGAAAATGAAGTTTGAAAGGGCTATTAAAGGGTTAGGCTTTAATGTCCTGCAAAATCTGTCATTTCTTTTATAAAGAGTGTGCATGGTTGCTCTCTCTCTCAAAGCAATTCTCACTTCCCTGCTTAGTAGGCTTTTTACTGCTATAACAAAATATCACAGACTGGGTAATTTATATTAAACAGATATTTACTGGCTCACAGTTTTGGAGGCTGTTAAGTCCAAGATCGAGGGCTGGCATTTTATGAGGGCCTTATTGAAGTATCACGTCATAGGGGAAGAACAAAAAAAAGAGAGAGAGAAATGGGGAGTGGAGGTTGAAGAAAGGGGTAACTTGTCCTTTTATAACAAACCTACTCCCTTGAAAACAAACTCATTCTAGAGGTAATATCCTTAATCCATTCATGAGGGTAGAACCCTTGAAGCCTAATCATCACTTCTTAATGTTCCCACATGTTAATACTGTTACAATGGCAATTAAATTTTAACATGACCTTTGAAGGGAACAAACTTCCAAAATGTAGCACGTACAATAATATTCAAATGTGGCATCAAGAACAGATTTTACTTACCAGTTTCTTACTTTAGGTTTTCTTCTGTTTATACAGTTTAAGGAAATATTGTCTTATTCTTTAGCCACATCAAACTACTGATACATATTGAATTCAAAAATAATCTAAATGCACAAAGGCGATTTTTGTGTATTGCAGCTAAGTCACATTTACTGCATTGTATACATATATAGATCGTTTTCTTTTGGGAGAGTGTTGGGGTTTAGGAATCCTAGAGCAGTATTTTATGATTATCTCTGCTAAAAATTTATGAGACTCAGCCTGTCAACTAGTTGATGATGATAATCAATTTATAACTTTGGAAACTGAGTAATGCAATTCATACACAGGAAACCCAAGGAGGAGGGGAAAGTTAGAGTGAAAGAATTGGCTTTATTTTAGATATGTTGAGTTTGAGTTCCCAGTGTGAATCCAAGTAGAGAGGTGTTGGATTCAGATATAGCTTTGAGAGTCAATAGCTAATTGGCAGACATTTAAGAAACTAACATAGTAAAATCACCTAGAAGATTAAATGTTTAGGAATACAAGCATTTTAGGGTATAGTATATATAGGTTTATGAAAATGAGACTCTACAAAATGGGCGCAAAGAGCAGTCACATATAGGGGAAAAATCTGTAGAAGTATGGAATAAAAATATTTCAAGTAATCAATTATGACAAATACTACAAAATAATTGTTAAGAAAACAAGTGAAAACTATGATCTTAATAGTTTATGGCTTTGTAATTTTGCTGATCTCCCTCATAAGAAAAACGGTCTGATATGACTCTTTTTGGTGGCCTCATGGTGGATGTGAGGGACTATCACTTTCCCTAATAATAGTTTATAAATAACTCATTTCATGACCCCTTTTAGTTCATGTACAACTTTGAAAACATATTCATTGGTGTATTAGTCTGTTTTGCATTACTGTGAAGAAATACCAGGCCAGGCATGGTGGCTCATACCTGTAATACAAGCACTTTGGGAGGTCAAGACAAGTAGATTACTTCAGGTAAAAAGTTCCAGACCATCCTGGCCAACATGGCGAAACACTGTGTCTACTAAAAATGTAACAATTAGTTGCATGTGGTAGTGCACACCGGTAATCTCAGTGACTCTGGAGGCTGAGGCAGGAGAATTACTTGAACCCAGGAGGCAAAGGTTGCAGTGAGCCAAGACTGTGCCGCTGCATCCCAGCCTAACAGAGTCAGGCTCCATCTCAAAAAACAAAACAAAACAAAACAAAAAAAACAAAAACAAAAAACAAAGAATACCAGAAGTTGAGTAATTAATAAAGAAAAGAGGTTTATTTGGCTCATGGTTCTGAAGGTTGTACAAGAATGGCACTAGCATCTGATCAGCTTCTGGTGAAACCTCAGGAAGCTTTTACTCGTGAAAGAATGTGAAAGGAGAGGAGGCATGTCAATTGGTGAGACTGGGAGCAAGGGAGATGATGGAATCTTTCAGACAACCATTTCAGGTCTCTCAAGTCATGTTTCATGTTTCCTCTCTTAATTTTGGCTTGATAAAATCCTCAGGATTTTTCAACTTCCTTAGGCAGTATCACCACATCACTTCTTTCCTGTTCCTTTCCTCCTCCCTTACATATTGTTTTCTGGGGAAAAAAAATCACTAGAAAAAGATCCAGCTAGATGATTCCTCTTTCAAGCCAGAAGATATTGGGGGCCAATATTCAACATTGTTAAAGATAAGGATTTCTAACCAGGAATATCATATCTGGCCAAACTAAGCTTAAAAAGAGAAGGGGAAATAATGTCATTTTCAGACAAGCAAATGCTGAGGTAATTAGTCACCACCAGGCCTGCCTTGCAAGAGCTCCTGAAGGATACACTAAATATGGAAAGGAAAACCTGTTATCAGCCACTGAAAAAACACTGAAACATACAGATCAGTGACACTGTAAAGCAGCCACATAAAAATGTCTGCAAAATAACCAGCTAGCATCATGATGACTTTATCAAATTCACACATAACAATACTAACTTTAAATGTAAAGTTACAATACCCCAATCTAAAAGACACAGAGTGGAAAGCTGGGTAAAGAGCCAAGCCTTATCTTTATACTATCTTCAACAGACTCATCTCACATGCAAAGGCACACATAGGTTCAAAATAAAGAGGAAAATTTAGCAAGGAAATGAAAAACGGAAAAAAAAAAACCACAGGGGTTGTAATTCTAGTTTCTGACAAAGCAGATTTAAATCAAAAAATATCAAAAAAGACAAAGTCGTGTTCAACAAGAAGAGCTAACTATCCTAAATACATATGCACCCAATACAGGAGCACTCAGGTTCATAAAGCAAGTTTTTAGAGAACTACAAAGACTTAGACTCACACACAATAGTAGTGGGAGATTTTTACAGCCCACAGACAATATTATACAGGTTATTGAAACAGAAAATTAACAAAGATATTCCAGAACTGAACTCAGCTCTGGATCAAGTGAACCTGATAGATACCTAGAGAACTTTCTACCCCAAAACAACAGAATATACATTCATCTCAGTGGTACCTGACACTTACGCTAACATTGATCACATAATTAGAAGTAAAACACTCCTCAGCAAATCCAAAATAACTGAAATCATGAAACTCTCAGATCACAGCACAATTAAATTAGAAATCAAGATTAAGAAATTCATTTGAAGCCAAACAACTACATGAAAATTGAAAAACCTACTCCTGAATGACTCTTAGGTAAATAATGAAATTAAGGCAGAAATCAATAAGTTTTTTTTTTTTAAACTAATGAGAACCAAGAGAAATATATCAGAATTTGGGGGAAGGCAGCTAAAATGGTATTGAGAGAGAAATTTGTGGCACTAAATGCGCACATCAAAAAGCTAGAAAGATCACAAGTTAACATCCTAACAGCACGACTAAAAGAACTAGAGAACCACCAAACTGACACAAGAACAGAAAGCCAAACACCACATGTTCTCACTCATAGGTGGGTGTTGAACAATGAGAACACATGGACTCAGGGAGAGGAGCATCACACACTGGGGGCAGTTGAGAGGAGTAGGGGAGAGACAGCAGGGGGTGGGGAGGGATAACATGGGGAGAAATGCCAGATATAATATGCACCTAAAGTAAAATAAATTAAATTTAAAAAAGAGATTTTCCCCATATGGGAATCCTGATGCCCTTTAAGTAATGAGCTAACACTGTTAGCTTCCCGATGGTGGTCATATGTATACAGTTTTGTTCCAGTGTGGATTTTCTGATGCATAAGACTGAGCTTTTGGTGAAGGCCTTCCTACATTTTTACATTTATAAATTTTCTCTCCAGCAAAAAACAAACAAAAAAACTAGAGAACCAAGAACAAACCAACCTCAAAGCTAGCAGAAGGCAAGAAATAACCAAGATCAGGGCAGAACTGAAGGAAACTGAGACACAAATCCTTAAAAAAATTAACAAATCCAGGAGATGTGTTTGGAAAGAAATTAAGAAAATAGATTGACCATTAGCTAGACTAATAAGAAAGAAGAATCAAACACAATGAGAAATGATAAGGGAGATACTGCCACTGACCCCACAAAAATAAAAACAACAATCAGAGTATGCTGTAAACACCTCTATGCACATAACTAGAAAATCTTGAAGAAATGTGTAAGTACCTGGACACATACACTCGCCCAAGACTGTATTGGAACAAAATGGAATCCCTGAATAGACCAAAAATAAGTTCTAAAATTGAGGCAGTAATAAATATCCTAGCAACCAAAAAATGCCCAGGACCAGACAAATTCACAGCTGAATTCTACCATAGATACAGAAAGAGCTGGTACCATTTCTACTAAAACTATTCCAAAAACTTGAAAAGAAGGAACTCCTTCCTAACTCATTTTATGAGGCCACCATGATCCTGATACAAAAACCTGGGGAGATACAGCAACAACAACAACAACAACTTCAGGCCATTGTCCTTGATAAACATCAATGCAAAAATCCTCAATAAATGCTGGTGACCTGAATCCAGGAGCACATCAAAAAGCTTATCCACCATGAACAAGTTGGCTTCATCACCAGGATACAAGGTTGGTTCAAGCTGCACAAATTTATAAGTGTGATTCATCACATAAATAGAACTGAAGATAAAAACCACATGATTATCTCAAGAGACAAATAAAAGGCCTTCAATAAAACTCAACATCCTTCCATGTCGAAATATTTCAATAAACTAGGTATTGAAAGAACATCCTTCAAAACAATAACAGCCATAAATGACAAACCCATAACGAATGTCATACTGAATAAGCAAAAACTGGAAGCATTCCCTTTGAGAACTGGCACAAGACAAAGATGCCCTCTCTCACCACTCCTATTCAACATACTATTGGAAGTGCTGGCCAGGGCAATCAGGCAAGAGGAAGAAATTAAGCATATTCAGATAGGAGGAGAGAAAGTCAAATTATCTTTATTTGCAGATGACATAATACTATACCTAGAAAACCCCATTGTTTCAGCCCAAAAGTTTCTTAAGCTGATAAGTAACTTCATCAAAGTTCAGGATACAGAATCAATTTGCAAGAATTGCTAGCATTCTTATACACCAACAGCAAGCAGAGAGCCAAATCATAAATAAACTCTCATTCCAAATTGCTGCAAAAATAATATAATACCTAGGAATACAGCTAAAAAGGGACGTGAAGGGCATCTTTAAGGAGAACTACAAACCACTGCTCAAAGAAATCAGAGAGAACACAAACAAATGGAAAAATATTCCATACTCATGGAAAGGAAGAATCAGTGCCTTCAAAATGGCCATACTGCTTAGAGTAATTTATAGATTAAATGATATTCCCATTAAACTACCATTGACATTCTTCAGTGAATTAGGGGAAAAAAAATTAATTTTATATGGAAACCAAAAAGAGCCCAAATAGAGGAAACAATCCTAAGTAAAAAGAACAAAGCTGGAAGCATCATGCTATCCAACTTCAAACTATACTACAAGGCTACAGTAACCAAAATGGCATAGTACTTGCAGAAGTACAGACACATAGAATGATGGTACAGAATAGAGATATCAGAAATAAGACTACACACCTATAACAATCTGATCTTCAACAAACCTTACAAAAACGAGCAATGGGGAAAGGAAATGACTCCCTATTTTTAAAATGGTGCTGAGAGAACTGGCTAGCCCTGCTGAGAAAATTAAAACTGGACCACTTCTTTACACCTTATACAAAAATTACCTCAAGATGGATTAAAGACTTAAATGTAAAAACCCAAACTATAAAAAACTCTAGAACAAAATCTAGGCAATACCATTCAGGACATAGACATGGGCAAGGATATCATGATAAAAACACCAAAAGCAATTGCAGCAAAAGCAAAACTTGACAAATGGGATTTAATTATGGTGAAGAGCTTCTATACAGAAAAAGAAACTTCCATCAGAGTGAAAAAACAACCTACAGAATGAAAGAAAATTTTTGCAATCTATTTATCTGACTAAGGTCTACTATACAGAGTCTACCAAAAAACCTAAGCAAATTTACAGGAACAAAACAAACAACCTCATTAAAAAGTAAGCAAAGGACACTAACAGACACTTCTCAAAAAAAAGAAATACATGTAGCCAAGAAACATAATAGAAAAAGCTCAACAGCATTGATCATTAGAGAAATGCTCATAAAAACCACAATAAGATAACATCTCATGCCTGTTAGAATGGCAGTTATTAAAAGTCAAATAACAACTGATGCTAGTGATGTTGTAAGAATAAAAACACTTTTACACTGTTGGTAGGATCATAAGTCAGTTCAACCATTATGTAAGACAGTGTGGCAATTCCTCAAAGATCTAGAGGGAGAAATACCATTTGACCCAGCAATCCTATTACTGGATATATGCCCAAAGGAATATAAATTATTCTATTATAAAAATACATGCACCTGTATGTTCACTGCAGCACTATTCACAATAGCAAAGACATGGAATTAAACCTAATGCCCATCAGTAATCGACTGGATAAAGAAAAGGTGGTGCACATAACATCATATAATGCTGCGAAGCCATAGAAAGGAAGGAGATCATGTCCTTTGCAGAAATATGGATGAGCTGGAAGCCATTATTCCCAGCAAACTAATGCATGAACAGAAAACCAAACACTGTGTGATCTCTCTAAGTGGGAGCTGAACAGTGAGAACACATGCACACAGGGAGGAGAACAACTTACACAGGGGCTGGTCAGGCAGGGGGCAGAAGGGGGGAGAACATGAGGATAAACATATAATGCATGTGGGGCTCAGTATCTAGGTGGTAGTTTGATACATGCAGCAAGCCACCATGGCACATATTTGCTCATGTAACAAACCTGCACATCCTGCGCATGTACCCATGAACTGAAAATAAATGTTGAAACTAAAAAAAAAGGTTTTTAAATTACTCTCAGTAGGGAATTTAAAGAGTATTATAAAATTAATCACAGAAAATTGCTTAAAGTTTTTAGATTTTTGAAAGTCAAATATGAACTAAATGTTGCACAAGTAATAAAGGAATCAAAAATTTAATGCCTAGTTTTAATATTTCAGAAAAAAATCCAAACCAAATATTATATGAAAAATTCACCATGATAATATTTCTGTTCAGTAAAGACAAACTATTTTGTATAAAAATGTTAATATTTGTTTTTGAACAAAATATTTTGAACAAAATATTTGTTTTTAAAACCACCTTGAATTTGTACAGAAACTTTAATTTCTTTTCAAGATTTTTATTCATTTTACATTTACATATAGAATTTAAGAATATGAAAAATGAGAGGTTATGTGACTGCTTAAGGTCACAAAATAAATTCATAATACAGAAAGTTAAAAAAATTACTTTTTGATTATTCGCAGCTTTTTTCCTTCAACTACCACGTATAAAAATATGCCTTATTTTTTCTTCCATTTATCACCCTCAAAGGAAAATCTAGCTTTGCCAAATAGATTTTTAGGTTTTGGAAATTAAGAATCAGGAATAAAGAAAAATATAACTGGAATTTAAAGCTTAAAGCTAGAGGATATTTTCATAGAGTGGGGAAGTTGAGAAATAGTAAGTGTGGTAGTAGCTAAGATGTGAGAAAAGTGTATAGGAGAAAGAAACAGACATTTTTAAGATGCATTTCTGGAAAGTATGTGTCTCCTTCAGAAGATTCATGAGATATAAGTGAAAAGATTAATTATTTTAAAGTTGCTCTCAGTTGAATTAACTGTGTTCCACATCCGTTTATCATCTCTTCATGTATTATGTGGATCTATGTCTTCCAAATATTTTTGGTAACATTTTTAACTACAGCAGTATATCTATCTGTTTATGATAATAACTCTGTATCATGGAAGAACTGCCCACACACATACACCATTTCAACATAAATTCAGGAAATTCTTACTATCTTGCTGCAATATATTGAAATTTATTTTTACTAAAAGTGACTGCTTAATCCAGTGTGAGGAAATAGCAGCCAGATTGAGAAGAAAAAAAAATAAACTAGTATTGGTTGTCGTAGCACATCTTAAAAGTCCAACAATACCTGTCAGATACAGTGGTAGATTAATTTATAAATCTCTGTCATTACTTACCACCATTGGTCAAATATCAATTAATACATTCATTTATGCATTCAAGTAACTTTTAAAATGTGAATTTAGGTAAATAAGACATAATATTTGCCTTGAGGAGTTCCAAGTTGGAATAGCAGAAGGTAAGGACAGAGACATATAAATATAATGCAATCAATATATTTTATTTTGGAAGAATTTTTATACAATGTGCTATAGGAGCTCACAGCTAGAGACCTGAGTGAGTAAATGAATGAAGGCTTCACAATGAAGTATTACCTGCATTTTCGAAACTACATATATAGGAATACAATTGAGAGATCATACTAGATAGAAAAAAGACCCTGCACTACTATAGTGGCATGTTGTGTTCTTAAAAAATTATGACTGGAGAGTAGATATATGTTACAGGGAATGTGGTAAAAGCTAAGGACAGTGGTAATAATATGAAACATATAATATTAGAAAGTTTAGTTGAGGCCAAATTGTGAAGAGTTGCCATGTGTTGTGATTATATGGATATGTACATTTTCCTGAGAAACGATTTATAGCTTTCATACATTCTCAAAAAGCTTGTAACCACACAAAATGTTAAGAATCACTACTAAAGGAAAAAGAAGTCTTTTTTTTTTTTTTTTTTTTTTTTTTTTTTTTTTTTTGAGACAGAATTTTGCTCTGTCACCCAGACTGGAGTGCAATGGTGCAATCTCAGCTCACTGCAACCTCCACCTCCTGGGTTCAAGCAATTCTCATGCCTCACCCTTCCAAGTAGCTGAAATTACAGGTGCCTGTCACCACGACTTGTTTGCTTTTTGTATTTTTAGTAGAGATGGGGTTTTGCCATGTTGACCAGGCTGGAATGGAACTCTTAACCTCAGATGATCTACCCTCCTCTGCCTCCCAAAATGATGGGATTACAGACATGAGCCACAACACCCAGCCTAACAATAGTCATTTTAACATGCATATTTTTAAACTCCTGTATCAATGAATGCATCCTAGAATAATCTGAAAAAATCTATACCAAGTATCATGAATGGTTTAACAATAAAAAATGTCCAACAAAGGAAAGCCCAGGATCAAGTAATCTCAAACTTTCACAAAATTGCCATGTGTGTACCTATGCAACAATCCTGCATGATCTACACATGTACCCCAGAACCTAAAGTACAATGGAAAAAAAAAAAAAGGGGGGGGGGAGGATCCAACATGGCCGTTTAGGAACAGCTCAGGATTGCAGCTCCCAGTGAAAGTGCAGAGGGTGAGTGGATGCCGTGTTTTTATTGCCCACAGACTAGGAAATTCCTGGGCAGAGGAGCTCCACGGTCGCCAGCGCGGCTGTTTCGGCCAGCACGGCTGTGCCGGCCAGCGCCGCTGCTTTGCCCCGCGCGGCTGCTTTGTCGGCGCCCCAGAGCCGCGGTTCTCCGTACAAAATACACCGGTCTGGGTGCCTTTTTGGCTGGCTATTGGAGCCACGGGAAGTCGCCCATTCGCCGGTTCAAAAAGGGGACTGAGAAGAGAATCAGGACAGTAGATTCCAGGGCAAAAAAAAAACGAAAAAGAAGCGCCACAAAACTCAGTGCCGCTGTTTAAGCCAGTGGAGTGAGTGGCCGCAGGGGAAAACAAACAGACCCCTGCGCCTCTTCAACAGGCGACTGGAACACCAACTTAAAAAAGGCTCTGAGGCAGGGAGCCGGGCGATCAGGCTCGACTTCTCCCACCCCCACAAAAGAACAGCAACCAGAAACTCTGGATTGAGAGTTTCACAGCAAGCACAGCTGAACCTGGGATGGACCAGCTCTGTGGGGGAGGGGCGTCCTCCATTACCTAGGCAGCCCGCCACGACCCAGGTAGTCGGCCAATGCTAAGGCAGCCTGCCGTTGCCAAGGCAATCCGCCATTGCTGAGGCAGTCCGCTGTTGCCAAGGCAACCCACCATTGCTGAGGCAGCCCGCCATTGCCAAGGCAACCCACCACAGCAGAGAGATTCCATCTCAACAGAGGTGGGACACCATCGCCAAAGCAGTTCTAACTACACCCATAGAAACAGGACTGCAGGGAAGTTCACTCGGCAGCGGGGCGGAGCCCACAGCAGCTCAGCAAAGCCTATACAGGC